AGACAAGGGGGGAAGGAAAGGGCGAGGACTACGCCCTCCACCTTGCCCCCGGGGTAAGAGCTACGCCCTCCACCTTGCCCCAGAGTAAGGGCTATGCCTTCCATCTTACCTTGGCCATGTGCTCAGCAAGGCTTCTTCCTGGAAGCCAAGCCGCTGCTGGCCACACCCAGGACTTCTTTGAACTGGCCAATGACAATCAAGAGAAGTCGCCATAGATATGACCACATCCTGTGTGACAAGACACCGACTTGCGCCTGGCCAATCGGCAGGGCCCACAGTCCTTTCTCCTCCCCTTACCCCAACCCCCTATAAAACCTCTCTCCACACAGAGTTTGCTCTCTCTCTGCCACTTGCTGCTGTGCCAGTAAGGGGGGGCAGGGGAGCCAAACCTAGGTTTGAAATAAATGACTCTTTGCTTTTGCATCGGACTCGCTGGCTCCCTGGTGGGCCCTTGGGAATCTTGAAATCTGGGCACAACAATTCAAAGTTTTTAGTGGAGAATGTTATCTGTCTTTATTCTTTAAATATGTCTCTTTGTTATTTGTTTAAATTGTTTAGCTAGTGAAACTTCTGTTTGTGTCTCTTAAAAAATATGAATGTATTGTTAATCTGAGGAATGTTAATTATTTACATGTCACCTAAAAATTAAGGCTAAGAGTTCTAACTAACTGGAAAGTATGGCTTTGGTGTAATGGAGGAAGGTAAAGAGAAATGTTGAAAGAAAGTTAAATAAATGACAGGCCAGTAAGCCAGGACAAGTAGAATAGGGGAACTGAGATGGTTAAATAGCAAGTTGGAGCCATCTTGTAAATCCTGTCTTCCTTAAATCAAGGACACTTGGGAGTAAATGATTTGCATTTTGCCTCCCTAAATAGAGGTTAAATAGCTTATGTCAATGTATTCTGGGAGACTGATAGCAGAAATCTGAAATCTAATTAGTGTCATTTGCTGTCCACACCCAAGGACAAATGAAGTTAGAAAATAGCCTTATTTTGATCTTTTATTCAGGTATTTTTATTAAAGGAGGCAACCTGGTCCCTCCCTGCAACATGGGTAATAGCTCTTCCTCAAGCTCCATTGTCTTAGAATGTATGTTAAGGAATCTTAAAAAGGGGTTTATTAGGAACTATGGGGTAAAACTAGTCCACTGGGAGTTGAAAAGGATGTGTGAAATAGACTGGCCATATTTTGGAGTAGGATGGCCACTGGAGGGCACATTGGATGTTCCCATGTCAGGAATGTTCAGAATTATCACAGGAGACCCAGGTCATCCCGACCAGTTCCCTTACATTGACCAGTGGCTAAAAATAGCAGAGCTTAAGCTGCTTTGGATCCAGTTTTCTGTATATAAGGGAAAAGGGCAGGCCCCTCAGAAGGAGAATAAGCCTCCTATTCTGCAGGAACCCCCTGAGGAAGCCCTGCCAGTTCTACCACCTCCATATGTGCCTCAAGTGGTACCCAGTGCCTCTTTGCCTAGCCAGGGAAGCTTAGGTATACCACCTCCTTCCGTCTCCCCCAAGCCAGACTCTCCAGAGCCAGTTGACATTTGCGGTCAGCTGATTGGGGACCCAAACCACTCCTGGCTTACCAGATACCTCTTTGAGAAATGTGGGGTCCTCATAATTGGATAAAGTGGGACCCCACAAGAGGGGGATCAATCTTTTACTACCAGCCTTTCACTACTACCGATCTCTTAAATTGGAAGACATGCCAGATTACTTGGTCCCTCTAATGGGCAGAGACCTTTTAGCCAAAATTGGGGCAGAAATCACCTTTGCCCCAGATGGCTCAGCACAATTGCGCTTAGGTGAGAAGACCTCTCCAATGATCCTGTTTTTAGCAGTGCCTAGGGAGGAAGAATGGAGACTTAATACCTCCCAATCAAAGGACTCACCATTAGAGCCTGAACTAAAGAAGGAATTCCCGCTGGTCTGGGCAGAAGGAAATCCCCCAGGCCTGGCTAAGAACCATGCCCCAGTTCTAATAGACTTGAAGCCTGGGCACAGCCTGTAGAACTTTGCCAGTACCCAATTTCAATAGAGACTTCGTAAGCGGTGTCAGTCTCCATGGAACACCCCTCTCTTATCTGTTAAGAACCCTGGGACCAATGATTACCAGCCAGTACAAGCCCTGCGGGCTGTTAATGAGGCTGTTATAACCCTGAAGTTGGCGCTGCTGAATCCATACATCCTCCTGGGACTCATTCTGTCAAAAGCGGAATGGTTTAAATGTCTAGATCTAAAAGATGCCTTTTTCTGCCTTCAGCTGGCACCCTCCAGTCAGCCTCTGTTTGCCTTCGAGTGGGAAAACCCAACCACAGGGGCTCAGGAACAGTTCACCTGGACCAGACTGCCACAAGGGTTCAAGAACTCCCCAACTCTTCTTAGTGGAGCACTAGCAGCAGATTTGTCCAAATTTCCAGGACTGGATGTGGGGTGCATTCTCCAATATGTAGGCGACCTTCTACTGGCTAGCTCCACGCAAACTCAGTGTTGGGAAGGAACACAAACCCTTCTAAGACTTTTAACTGAAACAGGTTACCGAGTGTCCAAAAGGAAGGCTCAGATCTGTCAGATGGAAGTCAAATAGCTGGGTTTCCAAATTAGCCAAGGGAAACAAAGACTAGGGACTGAAAGAAAACAGGCAGTATGTGCCATACCAGTCCCAGCACCCAGTGACAGATTTGGGAATTCCTAGGGGCAGCAGGGTTCTGTTGTATTGATCCCAGGATTCTCAGATCTAGCTAAGCCCCTCTATGAAGCCTTAAAAGGAGATGAAAAGGCACCTATTAACTGGGGTCCTGAACAGGAAAAAGCCTTTGTGACATAAAGACAAAGCTCACTGAGGCACCAGCCCTAGGGCTCCCAGATGTGACACGGGACTTTAACCTTTTCATTCACGAGAACTACAGGGTAGCCCTAGTAATTCTGACTCAGGAGTTGGGACCCTGGCAGAGGCCAGTAGCCTATCTCTCCAAACAGATTGACCCATTGCCTCCAGTGGTCCCCTTGCCTCAGGGCCCTTGCAGCCACAGCCTTATTAGTCAAAGAGGCAGACAAGCTCACTCTGGGACAGAACTTAAATGCTAAAGTGCTTCATGCTGTTGTCACCCTAATGGAAGCTAAGGGGCAACATTGGCTGACTCATGCTCGGATGACTCGATACCAAGGCTCCTATGTGAAAATCCATGAATAAGTTTAGAAGCAGTAAGAACTCTTAATCCTGACACTTTCCTACCCATCGTGGAGGGAACCCCTGAGCATGATTGTCTAGAACAGTGGTCGCCGACCTTTCGGACTTCAGGGACCACTAGTGGTCTGTGGAGCACCGGTTGGTGACCGCTGGTCTAGAAGTCCTAGAGGACGTTTAGCCGGCCAGCTCTAACAGATAGGCCTCTACAGAATCCGAACTTAGTGTTGTTCATGACGGCAGGAGCTTCCTAGAGGAAGGAAAAAGAGGAGCCGCGTATGCAGTGGTATCAAATTTTGAATAATAGAGGCACAGGCCCTGCCTGGAGGATGGTCAGCACAGAGGGCAGAACTTTGGGCCCTAGTCAGAGCCTCAAATCTCAGTAAGGATAAGCACACCAACATCTAAACTGAATCGCGCTATGCCTTCCTACCCTGCATATCCATGGGGCCATATACAAGGAAAGGGTGCTCCTGACGGCTGGAGGAAAAGGAATCAAAAATCAGAATGAGACCTTGAAGTTACTAGAAGCAGTCTGGGAGCCCAAGGAAGTGGCAGTCATCCATTGTAGAGGACACCAAAAAGGAAAAGACTCAGTGTCAGAAGGGAACCGTTGCACAGGCGCAGCGGCAAGGCTAGGTGCTAAGGAGCGGGCAGCACCATCGCAGATCATGCTGGTTCCTGATTTACCTGAATTTCCAAAATACACCCCTCAAGAAGAAGAATGGGCCCAACGAGAAGAGAGTAAAAGGACGAAGGAAGGTTGGTGGATATTCCCAGGTCATAGGGTCTACATTCCAGAACAGTTCGCTCATAGAGTAGTACTACAACAGCATGAACTTACCCATTTAGGGAAGACGGCTCTAGAAGCCTTTTTAAACAGATACTATCTAATTGCCCATCTCCCCTCCTTATGCACCTCAGTCTCTCAGCGCTGCCCACTCTGTGCACAGAACAATGCAAGGCAGGGTCCTGTAGGATCGATAGGAATTCAGCGCTGTGGGCAGGCTCTCTTTGTAATTCTGCGATATGGAATGTCATTAACCATAGGGTCAGATAATAGCCTAGCCTTTGTAGCTGAAGTAGTATAGTAGGTAGCTAAGGCCTTAGGAATTAAGTGGAACTTACATGCAGCCTACAGGCCCCAGAGTTCAGGGAAAGTAGAACACATGAACTGGACTCTCAATCAGGCTATGGCTAAGCTATGCCAGGAGACGAACTTACCCTAGATAGATATCTTACCACTTGTGCTCCTGTGGGTGCGCTGTGCCCTGAGAGCTAGGGTAGGCTTCTCTCCATTTGAAATCCTATATGGCAGACCCCCTCCCTTAATTCGGCCAAAGGGAGGTTTGGGGGAAATAGGGATCTTAGAAATTCAGAAACAGCTACAAGGACTTGGGAAAACTATCCTTGAAGTCCACAGATGGGTTACTGAATGATTGCCCATCTCTCTAGGAACAGCTGTGCACCCTCACAAGCCTGAGGATCAGGTTTGGGTAAAAGATTAGAAAAAGGAACCCCTTAAGTCAACCTGGAAGAGACCTTATCCAGTCGTCTAACTACCCCCTCAGCTCTCAAAGTTGCAGGTCTGAACACCTGGACCCACCACTCCCGGGTGAAAGCAGCCCATCAGCTGGACAATCAGCATCCAGAGTGGAAGGGGACCTCTGACCTGAACCACCCCCTGTGGATCATCTTCAAGAAGATGGTGGATCCAGCTGACCGACCTGAATCTCCTTATCCCCTCCTATCTGGATAATTATTGATTTTGTTTTTTTCTCTAACAGTTTTATTCTGTCTTCATACAAGTGTCGCCGGAACCCAAGACTGGTACCAGGAGGAGAACTTCTCTGCCCTTGCTACTTGGATGACCCCCTTGGGGAAGATGGGGAAGACTTGGGATACTGAACCCCCTTTTTTGTCATCCTCCTTCATCAGGAAGTAGCTAGAGCGGTAGTTGACCTCATCCCCAATTTCTGAGTCTTTTGTAATCCCCAAGGCTAAGAATAGCTTGTGGAACAGAGTGGGTAATGAAAATGAAAATGGGGGCGGGGGGCTTGCTACCTAGTTCAGTATCTGGTTAAAACTGTAGTCTTACTTACCCACTCTGACTGACTTGGGTGGAGCTGCAGAGCCTAACCCCAGGGCTCCACACTTAGGCGGAGCTGCGGGGACCCTCAGGGTTCCACCACAGGAGGAGATACATAGGTCAGAGCCTCCCCATGAGTTCAGTTCAGGCTTTGGATCCGGAATTCCCCTGGACTAGCAGATCTGTGAAATGAAGGTTAAACTTTCCTCCCTCAGAGTGCCGGCTGATCCTTCTCCTGTGCATTCTGCCACAGCACAAGAACTTGAGGAATTCACCCAAGTCTACAGGTATTGCAGGAAAACCTGATGGCTACTAGGTGGCTCAGCTTCTTTGCCCTGAGAGGCTAATTAAAGCTCAATCATGAGATTCCAACAAAACAGATTTTAAGAAGCCTATGTAATCAATTGCCATTCTTATTGTGTCATGCAAAGAACAGGACACATTAAAACTAGACTTAATACAATAAATAAGTTAGTCTTAATTTGGATCTTTTTTTTTAATTTTAATATATATATATTTTTAATTGATTTTTTTACAGAGAGGAAGGGAGAGGGATAGAGAGTCAGAAACATCGATGAGAGAGAAACATCAATCAGCTGCCTTCTGCACACTCTCCACTGGGTATGTGCCTGAAACCAAGGTACATGCCTTTAACAGGAATCGAACTTGGGACCCTTGAGTCCGCAGGCCAATGCTCTATCCACTAAGCCAAACCAGCTAGGGCTCTTTTTTCTTTTTAACTCTCACCTGAGGATATTTTTCCATTAATTTTTAGAGATAGTGGAAGGAAGAGGGAGACAGAGAGAGGAAAACATCAATGTAAGAGAGAACATTGATTGGTTGCCTCCCACAAGTGCCCTGCTGAGGTTGGTCAATCAATGGAGACCACAATCCTAAGTGGACACCTGGAAAATTACTAAATATTCCATTAAAAGCTTTCCTTGAAATCTCTCCTAAAATCTCCTCCCTTAAAACCCTTAGACTCAGTGTGCTCTCTCCCTCCTTCCCAGGAGCTAGCCCTTGCCTTTCTCTTCCCGTCCCCTCCCCCTCCCCCAAGCAAGTTACCATCAACTTCCTCATTCCCAAGCTCCAAAGGCCTTTCCTTTACCTCTATAACATGTTTCCTAAGCCCATTTCTTTTAAAAAATTACTTTTTCTACCTCTGTAATTTACCTAATAAATGTTCCCTTACAGTTTGGGTCTTGCTTTGACTTCTTTTTTTAATTGTTTTTATTATTAAATCTTTATTGTTCAGATTATTACATTTGTTCTTCTTTTTCCCCCCCATAACTCCCCTCCTCCCAGTTCCCGCCCCACCCTCCGCCCTCACTCCCCACCCACTGTCCTCATCCATAGGTGCACGATTTTTGTCCAGTCTCTTCCATCATCTCCCACACCTCCCCCCACGAAATTTCCCCTGCCCCCCCAAGAATAGTCAGTCCATTCCCTTTCTATGTCCCTGATTCTATTATGATCACCAGTTCATTCTGTACATCAGATTATTTATTCACTTGATTCTTAGATTCACTTGTTGATAGATGCATGTTTGTTGTTCATAATTTGTATCTTTACCTTTTTCTTCTTCTTCCTCTTCTTAAAGGATACCTTTCAGCATTTCATATAATACTGGTTTGGTGGTGATGAACTCCTTTAGCTTTTCCTTATCACTTTGACTTCTTTCCTAGCCAGAACCCAAGTACCAAGATTACTAAACCCAGGTTTAGTCTGACCCCATGGGTCAGACACCTGGTGCTGTTCCCGCTGCCTACAATACTATAAGCAGCTAAATGAAACATGACAGTTTTCTGGGTGTCATTATGTAACTCACCAGGAAAGAGATACTGGTATCTGCCAATGGTGCAGATCCTTATGGCAGTGACCCTGAAAGGATCGAGATATTAAAGCCCTTTACACTCAGTCATTCCAGGTTGTGACAAGCATTATGTGTTAAAATCTCAAGAAGATATTTTTGTATCAAATTCTTAATTATTAATTTTATATATCTACTTAATTTCTCAGCATAAAAGAAAATAGAGAAAAGAAATAAGTTTTGTTTGTCTTTGTCAGTAGTATTAGACATTTCTAGTTGTTTGTGTTACCTTAAAATTTTTAGTTTAGTAATTTTTCCACATCTAAACACTTTGGATTTGACACACTTTATGACCTTCATCAGTAGTTAGAATACAAATTGAATAAGTACAATACAAAGCCGGGCCTTCAGAATCTGGGGGCCAAGAACACTGCTCTGGATGGTCTGTGACTCCTTTGGAGATTGCAAAGAAAGTATTATCTGTGAATATGTACATTCTATAGAAGAGATCCTTAGCTTCCCATTCAGGTTTTCACAGGGCTCCATGGACCCCCTAAGTTGTCTCTTCGGAAGCTTATCTATCCATAATAATAAAAGCATAGTATGCTAAATAGACCAGATGTCCTTCTGGACGACCTTCCAGATAAAGCCGGGGCTTCAAGGGAAACCCAGGTCCCAGGTGCCTGCTGGCAGCTTGAGGGAAGCCAGTGCTGGCAGCCAGGGGAAGGAAGGTCTACTCTTGCATGAATTTCGAGCATTGGTACTCTAATATATATACCTATCTACCGTATTTGCCGGCGTATAAGACAACTGGGCGTATAAGACGACCCCCTAACATTTCCACCAAAAATACAGATATTGT